CAAGTTCTATTTCACACTGGAAACAAAACCTAAGCAAAGGAAATAGACATGTGAGGCTATTGTTCGTTATATTGCAGTCCAGAAGCAGTGGTGGATCTAGAGGGTATATTGTGGATTCCTGGGAACCAGTAGCTTTTGTCGAGATCTTGTATATGTATTAAAAATTCATTAAATATCTATAAGCATTTGACTGTGAACCTAGTTATTAACTTGAGATCGTTATAAGAACTTATAAACTTTAATTCCTGAATCTGCCTCTGTCCAGAAGGTTGTAGAGTTTCAGGTTGGATGGGGCCACTATATGTGCTATCCTGCAATTATGTTCAAACTTCAAACAGTTGTGTATGTGTATTTGCTCTTGGTTTAGTTTGATTTTGTTGAAGTAGACTCGTGAACCATATTAAATCATTCTCGTGAATTTACTTATTGCATCCCTTTACAAATACGAGAGTGAGAGCAATTATATTTTATGGCAAAGAAGTTAATTTATTCCTTAAACTCTTCAAAGTGATCTTGCGCTTTGGTGTTTTAGACATTGCTTCTCCTGCATCATACTGACCCCTGAAATTTCGGGTCTAAAAGCCAATTTCTAGGTTCTCAGAAATCTGTTTAGCTGCTTATTTTCCACTGATCCGGTTCATCAGAATAGCAGCACTGGCATCGATAAGATACATAACATTGTGAAAGCATGTGTGACTCGTGCCATGACTTGTTCGTTTTTCTTATTGAATATTACTTAGCTTTTTGTATTGAATATTACTTTGGCAGTTACCACTACAATGTATTAGAACATACCGCTATAATCTGATTAGCAGGTTATCATTTTGTACAAGAAGGTTAGGTCATCCCCTCCTTCTTAACAATGCTTTGCACAACATTGGCAATAAAAGAGTAACTCGGAACTTTAACCGGAAAACAAATTACTTAATTTTTAATATTTGCAAATCGAGTTCTGTTTCCTATCTGCTTACTTCTTCGCAATTGTAATTCCAGATTCTAGAACAGGCCCTGGCAGTGAGAGAAAAGAATACAGTCATCGCCAGACACTTGAGGGCAGTTTAGGACATGCTCTCAAGTCTTGCAAAAGTGATCTATCTGCCGTCAGCCATCTCAAGTCCTTTACCTTCAATGACCTCAAGAATGCAACTAGGAACTTTCGAGCTGATAGTCTTCTTGGTGAGGGAGGATTTGGATATGTCTTCAAAGGATGGCTAGATGAAAATACGCTTACTCCCTGCAAACCAGGGACAGGAATGGTAGTGGCCGTCAAGAAACTTAAGCCAGAAAGCTTTCAGGGGCACAGAGAATGGCTTGTATGTTCATTTACACGCCTTCAGAAAATTTCTTAATATTTTGTTTGTGGCACTTATTCTCAGTGATAATAATAACTTTGTGTCCTTCGCATCAAATCTGCAGGCAGAGGTTAACTACTTAGGGCAGCTTCGCCACGAAAATCTTGTGAGGCTGATTGGATATTGCGTAGAATGTGATAACAGGCTTCTTGTTTACGAGTATATGACCAAAGGAAGCTTGGAAAATCATCTATTCAGAAGTGAGTCAATCTCTTCATTTTCCGAATTCTTTATAATCATTTTTCTCAATTTTTCCCGTAATTTAGGTAGGATTTTGTACAGGGGCATATGTACTATATACGGCACGGTTTCAGCAGAACTCAGTAACTTTGTATTTGTCCTGAAAAGTTTATTTAATATGTACAAATTATAAATTTAGAACCGAGTAACTCCAATGGGGAGAACCCAGAAGGACTAGAACCCATAAACTTCAAATCCTGGATCCGCCTCTGATTTGTATGCTTTATTAGTGTAGTAGTGCCGGACATTTTTCTCAAGCATTGATATAACGCTAATACTCCATAAGTATTATTATCTCTAGTAAGATAATGGTTCATGGACAAGTGAGGCTTGCTCAGCTGGTAAAAGCACCTCCACCCACGACCGTTAGGTCCTGGGTTCAAGTCACGCTGGAGGGGAAGCGTAGAAACACTATAGATCCTCCTAATTAGGGAGGGGTTAAAGAAATAAAAAGATAATGGTTCATGCAATTGAAGGATCTTTTCTGTGATCTTCTGAAGAAAGCAGTTCATTGCGTCGAATACTTGTACAACAAAGCCAACTCAATCTAGGCTGGACTTGAAAATCTTTTTCTAAGCTTTTCTTCCCTGCTTGATTTTATTCTCATCGATTATAATTCTATTGTTTCTTGTAGCATGTCTTCATCTAATGCCTCCATTTGATACATTTAAAATCAGTGCATAGTGTGTGTTTTCTTGAAAACTGCTGATGAAGACTAGTGATGTTTCCATTTTGTGCAGAAGGAGTTCAGCTTATGACTTGGGGTAAACGGATGCACGTTGCAGTAGATGTTGCACGAGGACTGGCCTTCTTGCACAGTCTGGATGCTAATGTCATCTATCGGGACCTCAAGGCATCAAATATTCTACTTGATTCGGTACAGTCTCTACGTCTGAGATATTGATTAGCATCAGAAAACTGTTGATTTCAATCATACAATCACAAATGAAATATTCTATTGAACATCTGCAGGAGTTTAATGCGAAACTATCAGATTTTGGCCTCGCAAGGGATGGTCCTGATGGAGATAGAACTCATGTTTCAACGAGGGTCATAGGAACTCGGGGTTATGCTGCACCAGAATATGTCGCAACAGGTATATTTCAATCAGTTTGTTAACTAATCCTTCTCCATTAAACTATTCGCCTTGTGATTACTGTGACCCACGGTTGGTATCTTGTATATCTTATCTCAAGTCAACCCCCAATTACTTGTAACAGGTCATTTGACTCCAAAGAACGATGTATATAGTTTCGGTGTTGTTCTATTGGAGCTGCTATCAGGAAAACGAGCTACAGGCGAGGAGAACCCGGGAGGTGCTGAGGAAACATTAGTAGAGTGGGCAATACCTTTCCTAAGCGACAGCAGACGAGTACTGAGAATCATGGATACAAGGTTCGGAGGGCAGTACTCGAAGAAAGGTGCACAAGCTGCAGCAGCACTCGCCTTACGGTGCCTCAATGTAGATCCAAAACTTAGACCAACAATGGATGAGGTATTATTAGCTACACTAAAGCTTTTGCCAACACCAAAAGATATTTCTAGGACTTCACCAACACAGGCAAATAATGCAGCAAATAACAAGATAAGTCATCATCAAAAGAGAGTTGTCACACATTCAAGATAAATGTACCAACACATGCTACATATATTTTAAGATAGGCGGTCTTTTTCTTCTTTATTTGTTTGTTGTTTCCCTTGTTTGATGAGGAAGAAAAATATCAGTATAGTGCTTGAGTGTAATATGTAAAATGTATATATATTTAAAATGTACATCTGTAGTACTCTTTGTTTCAGAACTTATGTTTTATTTTTTTCTGTCTCAAAGAGAATGACTTCTCCCTCAAAAGGGGAAAGCATGGTAAACTTTTCGCATCCGGTATGCACACTAAACTATACTAATTTACCATGGTTAAAACCATTTAGTGATTATAGTGTATGTGAGTACAAAATGAGGGGCCTTGGCGTAACTGGTAAAGTTATTGCCATGTGACCAGGAGGTCACGTATTCGAGCCGTGGAAACAACCTCTTACAGAAATACAGGATAAAGCTGCATACGATAGACCCTTGTGGTCCGGCCCTTCCCCCTACCCGCGCATAGCGAGAGCTTATGCATCGGGCCGCCCTTTTAGTGTATGTGAGTACAGGTGTCATGTATTAATTGGGTTAGTGTAAACACTGGGTGCAAGTAAATTTTTACGGAAAAAGCATACCGTGTAAAATGATGATTTTGCAGAATATTTTGTGGTAGCTAATGATACTAGGCATGCTCTTTCAACAAAGAGAATTGACAGAGGAGAAGGTGGCATATGTGAAGGTTATAAAAGGAAATAAGTAGAGTGGGGCAAAGGATATTTGAATTGGGACATTTTCAAGTTCCTTCATTTGATTGGTGTTGTCCAATTTTGACAATGGTTTATCCTTAACAGTTTTCAAAGACTAACTTGTTTTGAAAGCTGTTTTGGCTGTTCATAAAGTTTTGAAAACACAAAAAGTGGATCCTTCCTGTTATATATATATTCCATTCTGTTTATGGTGTAAAAGGGCAGTTCGATGCACGAAACATCCTGCATTCACGCAGTGGTGGAGAAAAGGCCGCAATCCAAGAGTTGTGATGTAGACAGTCTCCCTCGATACAAGCATCCAGGGGAAGATTTAGGTGGGCAGAAGGGGGTTCTGGGTTTTGGGAACCCCTTCGCCAAAAAATTGGACCGTACATATAAGGTAAAATCTATTTTATGCATCTATATATATTTTGATCCCCCTTGCTACAACCCAAAAGCATAGTTCGGCGGTTAAGGGAATTCAAAACTATTGTGAGGTTGCTGGTTCAATTTGCACTGGCCACATTCCCTTCTAATTTTTTAGCTTTTTCTTTTTTATACCCCTTAATAGAAATCCCGCCTTTGCCAGTGCTCATCTTATCTTAATTACTGAAGACAATAACATTCAAATTCGTGCCGGTAAACCCAATAAAGGGGAGAAGAGGAGGGTAAAACTTTCTCTCTCCAAAAATTCTCCATTTTCAAGGGTCTGAATCTGAAACCTTTACACACCCTCCTATCCACAATGCCCAATTTCANAAAAAAAAAAACATGTTTTCTCTTTTAAAAAGGAAAATTTAAATAGGGTGGTCAGACGGGGGATAATGAAAAGCTATTTTTCATAGGTGCACTTCTTTTTTGAGGGAGCTAATAATCAAGAATTCCTGACGGTATCGAACTGGAACAACCTGTGCTTCTTGAATATCCTAATTTAAGGCTAAGGAATTTCCTACCGCTACCATATAGTATTCATCTCTAATAAAGCATCCAGTTAAAAAAATTGTGAAAAGTGTCTACTAATTATACAAATTGCACATTTGACAAGGAAAATGAAAATTATAATTCTCCTTAGTGGATTCCTTCTTTTTTTTTTTTTTTTTTTTTAGGGAGCTGAAAAGCTTAATACAATTGTCAGAAGAGTATACCAGTTATACAAACAGCAAGTGATTAGGAACAAAGTCCTACTCATGATGAAACAAATGGAAATTCCTCACATGGTCACTTTCTCATGGGAGAAAAAAGTCCCACTACAAAGAACAGACCAAAAAAGAACAGAAAAAAGGGGATAGAAAGAAAGAACTTGTAAAGTTTATACATATGTGGTAGCACCAGCAAAAGCTAATGCTATTGCTCTTCATGGTAGTAATATGTTCACCCTCGGCAATACGCACTTGATAATATCCCGACCGCAAATCAAACTTCGTGTATCATGCTCCACTCGACTGATCGAAAAATACTACCTATTTTGCATGTCCTCTTCAGTTTTCCACACTACATCCTCTAGACTAGTTGAAAGATTCTTGTAAAACTGCATAAAAGAAGTACAAAAAAATGATTAAACAATGAAGAATTGATGGCAAAATAGATATCGTTCGAGATTGATTAGTAGTTAAAAGAGGTCAGGAACAAGAGGATAATGCAAAGACTGATAGGATTTAAAAATGCACAAGGTATTAACGAATTTTTATTTCCGTCTTTCTGAGCCGAGGGTCTATCAGAAACAGCCTCTCTGCCGTATCGGGGCAAGGGTAAGGTCTGCGTACACGTTACCCTCCTCAGACCCCACTATGTGGGATTTTACTGGGTAGTTGTTGTTGTTGTATTAACGAATTTCCGGTTATGTAAAACACAGCAAAACCCGAAGGGGAGCCTTGGCGTAACTGGTAAAGTTGCTGCCATGAGACCAGGAGGTCACGGGTTCAATCCGTAGAAACAACCTCTTGCGGAAATGCAGGGTTAAGGCTGCGTACAATACACCCTAGTGGTCCGGCTCTTCCCCGGACCCCGCGTATAGCGAGATCTTAGTGCACCGAACTGCCCTTTTAAAACACAGCAAAAACCTATGCCTTTGGGAAATAAGTACAGAGATTGCTACTACACAAGCATGACCTTTTATAAGCTAAATATCCATTACTTTTTTCATATATCTATCAGCTAAACAGTTAAACTTGAGGATTATGTTCCTGCTAGAGCAATCAGCTTGTGATTATACAATGCTTTCGCCTATCAAAACCTACTAATAGTGATATACGCAGTTCAGCATTGTCATTTAGATAAAAAAAAAATTAGCAGTTGGCTAAATATGGTACCTTGTGGAATTCCAAAGTATCGCCTTTTGCTTTTCGCACTTCAACCATATGAAGAGAAGGGGCGACTTGAAATACCTAAATTGCAGGCCAAACAGTGTTCAGGATACGACGACAAAAGATGCACATTTCGAAATAATGATGGCAATCTCAATACCCACTTCCAACCAAGAGGTTGTGAGTTCGAGTCTCCCCAAGAGTAAGGTGGGAAGTTCTTGGAGGGAAGGATGTCGGGGGTCTATTTGGAAACAGTCTCTCTACCTTAGGGTAGGGGTAAGGTCTGCGTACACATTACCCTCCCCAGACCCCACTAAGTGGGATTATACTGGGTTGTTGTTGTTGTTGTTGTTGATGGCAATCTCAATACAAAAAGAAAAAAGTAATAATAAATAAGATAAAACAAATGACCAATTAATAAACTGAACATACCTCAGTGGCAACATTAAGGTTCCCTTTTCTTCCAGCTTTAACATTTTCCAGCCTCATCTGAGGTAAAAGAGTAGAATCAGGCCAAGTGCACAGAATCAATATTAGATAAAATTAATTTAACTAATTAGGGATCTAGATGCCGAGTGAAATGCATGTTTGAAATTCATCACCACCTTGTAATTCTTTTTGTGAACATCAAAACCAAGGGGCTTTACAGCTTCTTCAATCTTACTGATTATTTCATTGGCCGGGCATTTAGATGTGAACCTTGTTTCTCTCTTAAATTCCTGCGAACAATGGAATCAAAACATCTGTCAATGGAGGAAGAATATAGTAATATACACATCATCAATGTTTCCGACAAAGTGGAGTACCTACTTAGTAATCGTCAATGTTTAAGAACTTTATGTTTTTAACTTCCGTATTTTCATCCTCACTCATATGAATAACATAACTGCAAATCAAACTGGGAATTCTGAATAGTAATTTCCTCACAACACGAACGTTGTTACATTGAGATTCCAGAAGCCTTATAAGGCATAAGATGTTGATATTCAACACACAGGAGAAAGAGAGAGAGAAGTTAGTACGTATATGCATGCAATATTACTGCAACGTTTTGAGATGTCCAGCGCTTAGTTAACGGCTAAATTTGATGAATTGACCAGGTTAATGCAACTCAGGGCCTTCAGGTTCATGTCTGCAAAAAGTCATCTATCCTATTGTGTAATATGCAAAGAAGCTGTTTTTACAACACATAACAGTTTCTTGACTTCTCTCTCCCATTGTTATGTTTTGGTGTTTGATATTAGAACAAACTGTGGAGGGCTTCGCAACTTGATAATAGCTGATGAATAACTGGCAAACCTTTATAAACGAAAAATTATCCAACACTTATTATCTCCAATAGAAGGCGACTTTTTATTGGCCACAACCAAGTCACTAAAATTATCTGAAATTCACATTAATTTCATTAAAGCATGTCCTATTGAGACAGAATAATCATGCGCGACGTAACTCCAGGCACAAGCACCATACTAATCAACCAGAAGTTCCAAAATATGCAAGATAAATAAGACAAAAATGGAAGTTCATAGTCATTGACCTGTTCATCGAAGAGATTCCCAAGGTTGAGTCCTCTTGACATTGAGATCAACTCGAATGCATTCATAGGAGTTGGCTGCTCTTCTTTTTTCTCTGTTACATGATATTCCTGCTTTGTGCCAAAAAAAGAGAACCAAGTGAGGATAACTTCATACATCAATCAATTCTTTCCTCTGAAGTCAATGCAAAATTTGTTCCATATTCCACTATGCTCACTTCAGAATCCTTGAATACAGCTTCAACATCATCCAGGTTGGCATCTTTTTTCTCATCAAAAACAGGAGGTTTATAATCTTTCTTGAACCACTCATCCTCCAAAATTTCTGGGATGGTAATACGCTGCGTAAGAAACACATGTAATAAATAAGAGAAGTAGATGACGTTATATATTCGATTGCAAGCTATAAATCCAGAAGCTGTATTTAGAAATTCAGCATGCTTACTGTCATAGGATTTGGATCCAAAATGCGAGTAATTAACTTCATAGCGCCAAAAGACATCCAAGGTGGGCAAGAAAATTCAGCAGCGGAGATCTGCGCAGACCGTGATAAACATTATGAAACTAATAACAACAAAAGTAGATTTGACTCAATAATGAATTCGTAAGAAATGCTCACTTTTTTATACAGGTTCATAAGATTAGAGTCATCAAAAGGCAAGTAACCTGCAAGCAATACAAAGAGTATGACTCCACACGACCAAAGATCCGCTGTTGTGCCGTCATATCCATGATCATTGAGTACCTAAGAAAGGAATCTCATTTTTTTAGACGAAGAGAATAATAAGAAAAAGGTGCACATGAACAGGACTTTTTTTGTGCGGTAAGAAGTGAACAAGAAGAGAGTTGTGGAGACCAATTTCATCATACCTCAGGAGCAACATAGTTAGGGGTTCCACACGAGGTATGGAGTAAACCATCATCCTGGAAATTTGAGTGAAAAATAAGAAATACATTTGATTCCAAAAGGAAGATTAACTATCACCAAAATGAAAGAAATATATTGCAGTATTACTGCTGCTTGAAGCTATATTTCAAATCCGAACTAATCACAAGATGATACATGTAGAGAAAGTAACGACTAGCATGATTTCGGAGTTCTCTAGCTAAAAAGAAAAAAAGTTCGTTATTGAACAATTCTCAGAGTAGTTAAAGCAAACAACAAATCATCCGTCAATCACAAATTAACTGACAATGTCCCATGGCCCATCCTTTATTGTTTCAAAAAAGTGAAGTGAAAATGATGTTTAGACTAGTTAATATCATAGGAAGAAGCAGAAATACATTTCAGTATCGTGCTGGCTCGTTTTCTATAGTGACAACTACTGCATTTGCGATTTTAAAATTCCGATCACTTGATTGTCGATGGGCTTTCCATGGAGATTTCTGGTCCCACACTTTTTTTTTTTTTTTTTTGGGGGGGGGGGGGATGAGTTATCACTACCACATTTCTCAAAGGCGAAATGTACATAATCAGTAAAGGACGTTAAGACTTCAGACATTGTTACACAATCTACTAGCAGGTTACACAGTTGAATTCACTGAATTACGTCTGATAACCACAAATTAACAACTTAAGTGACTCGTATCAAAAGTTGGAGATATATGTTAAAAGAACATATGATCAGATATTTACCCTGACTTGCTGGGACAGAGCACTCAATCCAAAATCAGAAACTTTAAGGTTTCCAGAGGCATCCAACAGTAAATTTTCAGGCTGCATCATTAAAGAATGTCAAAATAAAGGTCGCAAAAACAAAGCCAGAAGCTTTAAGGAAAAAACAGAACAGAAATTAAGAACTAAAAATGCTGCAAAAGTAACACTTTCCACCTTTAGATCTCTATGGTAGACTCCCCTGCTATGACAATAATCAACAACATTAATGAGCTGCTGAAAATATTTCCTTGCTTCTTTTTCATGCATCCGTCCATGATTTACCTTTATGCCAATAAAACAGATAATATCTTTAATCATATGCTAAGTGTCAGAGAGATTTTTAAGTGTGCTGAATAGGTTTGAATAGCTTCGGTAGGATACATGAAAACTAAATTCACAGTCAGTGAGAAACAAGTTTTGTGCTCTTTGGTCAAATTATTTATCTCCAAAAGTAAGGGGAGAGAATGAATTAGAAAAAAGGAAGAATCGCCCTTACAATTTTATCAAAGAGCTCTCCACCTGTAATGAATTCCAGAACAATGAATATCTTCGTCTTGCTACCCATCACCTGCAGGCAGATGAAAAGGATATGGATTCAAAGTTAAACATATGAAACCCCGGTCGTCATCAAAGCCACAACGACATCTTCTCTTTAGTACGTTATTTCCGATTTTGATAACAAAAGTAGGTTATTGCCAGTATAAGACTTCTGCATGATTAACAGCCTTGTTAAAAACTCGAAGGACACAAAATATTCGATACTTGAGATGTTCGTCAATGGATTTGTTGTTAGTAGGCAAGCATTTGGTATACAACATCCCAAAAGTTCTTTTAACAAAATTTTGAACATTTAACAGGAGAGAAAAATACATGTCTGTTCCCAAATGGGAAATTTACAATTCCAGCTCCCTTTTTGGTAATTTTGACTTAAACTTTTCTAGTTCTCTCATTTTTCAAGATTTTGATGGTACATCTCAAAAAGAGTATAACTCTTGAAAATTTGGAAAGTACCATATGAGTAGATCAAGAAGATTAACTAACTACTCCAGTATATTAGCCAATGCCACCGCAGTATATGGATACCAGCAAATTATCTGCATGCCAATATAGGTTATGTTAAAGGCCAGAATCTGCCCTAATACATGTCGGTAATACTGAAAATACATGCTGTACAACGGACCTTGTCTTGTCCAAAATTGAGTCATAAATTCTCAACAGAATGCTAAATATGTTTTGCTAGGCCAGTTGGTTATCCCTCCGATATAGTGAGTTGACAGATCGTTGATGTGAAGATCTAAAGTGAAGTTCTCAACATACGATGCATAACCAAATGCAAAGTAATGGGTTGCTTAATAATTAACCTAAAGGTTGGAGGTACGGAAACCAGTGGCATAGGATCCAATTACACATCCATATGATCACAGAGACCACATACATAGGCGCGCACAAATACACACAAGCACATGCGCATTGACATAGAGAGGACCAACCTCGTATAACCGAACAACATGTGGATGTCTGATTAACTTCATTGTAGCTATCTCCCGCTTTATCTGTCAATTTATGAACAAGAATTATAAATAGTAAACATTGCCAAAACGAATCAACCATTCAAAGAACTTAAAACTGTAGAAGGATGGATAACAAATCGATAACAACTCAATCGCCATGTCAGATGTCAAAAGACATCATTCACATAGCTTTCGTGTAATCTATGTTATGATTTGTAAGTGGATAACAACAGACAATAGAAAGAGACGAAAGTTCGAGAAAGCATAACGCATGAATATATTGAAGACTGACCTGCTCAGCCATTTTGTGTTTCAGGACCTTATCCTTATCAAGAATCTTGATTGCTACAGCCTCTCCTGTCTCTGAATTCCTTGCAAACTTGACTTTAGCAAATGTTCCCTCACCAATTGTCCTTCCCATTTCATATTTACCAACTCTACGCTTGATTTTTGCCTGATTCATTACTAAGATACAGGGACGATCCTCTAAAAAGTGCAGTCGTAATCCTCCTTAGAGAACTTTTTACTGCACAATGATTAAAACTTCGATAAGAAACCTGACTTCCTAACATATATTACCCGGAGTAAAGCAAAAAAAAAAAATCAGACTAGTCATCACATTCATTCCGTACATTCGGAGAGTTCCCAGACCAATTATAAAGTTAAAATAAAACAGATATTCTAACACAACTTGACTAACTGCAGATAAAAGCACACAACTAATGCTTTTATAATAAAAAAAAAGTTTGTTTATTTACTTCTCTTATTTGTTTAAGGTGTAGGGGCAAGAATCAAGGTGCAACACCATTTTAATTAAAATAAGTCAATTATAATAGTATTCCAATTCAAGGAAATAAATAAAGAAAGTGAGACTTGAATTAAAAACAAAGAACTATTGATTCAATCAATAACCAAAAGGACATTGGTCTCTCCCTCCGTGTGTGTGTGAGTGTGTGAGAGAGAGAGTGAGAGAGAGAGAGATGCCACTACCTAAACCTTTTTGTGGCAAAATCAGCAAAATGCGGCAAGAATTGAGTTCTATGACTTCACAACAGATTCCAGAAACAAATGCAAAGAAAAAACCCCAATTTTCTTGAAATAGAAAGGAAACTCAAGAAACTAAACCTCAAGTCCAATCAACCAACAAAACCAAAAATCAGCTAGCTTCACAATTTGCATAAAAATACAAACTTTGTTGATAAAAATAAGGAAAAGCTCAAAAAAGGAGCCAAATTTTAACTCCGATTAAACAAATAGCAACAACAAAATAACCCCTTTTTTTCAAAAACTAAGTACACAAAAAAATGCAGAAAAAGGAAAGTTTTTTTTCAAGGGAACTTCAAAAAGTGGAAAAGATCTCAATCTAATAAGATTCAAAATCCCATATTTCATAATTTCAAGAAAACCCAAAAGGCAAAATTCCTAAATATAGCTAATTCCCCACATGAACAAAACTCATAAACATATCAAAACAATACAAATATTCCAATCTTCCCAACAAATTCCAAAGCCAAAAAAAAAATATTATAAATATAGCCATAATGCATGCAAGCTGGTCCAGACAGTAGGATTATTAATAAAAAAAAAATCAAAGCAAAAAAGTAAGAAAGAGAAAAAAATACATACTTTGAGCTGAACTTTAAATGGGGTCTTGGGCTATAAAGATAAAGATAAAACTTTTATGAAGATGAATATGAAGAAGGAACAAGAAGATACCAAAGGCGGCTTTTGGTGTTTTATTGGGTCAAAAAAGATTACAGCAGTTTATAATTCTGAATGATTTTGGACAAAAATATATGGTCAGTGGAAAAATCCCAGCAACCAAATCTTGAAATTCACCTTTGTTAAATGCCACTGCAAATATTTATATAAAAAAAGTTGGTTGCGGACCTACATGGACGGTAGAGGGGTCACCGGAACCGTTAGCCTCGGCAAAAAATCATTTATATATATTTGTATATACGACAAGGACCCCTTAAATAATTTTGACGTGCCCCCTATACACGAAAGAAGGATTGGCTTCGCTGGTTTAGTACCTGCATTTGTCTCCGTTTGACCAAGGTTCGAGACCATCACCAGGTATTTTTTTCCCTTTATGTTTTCTAAGTTCATGAATAATTATTTAGCACTAGTACATAGATGTCACACCTCCTTTTTGCGCGCCTACCCTGAGGGATAGATGCGCGAGGGAGTTTTTCCAATTTAAGTGACAATATTCGAAATGGGATTATTTATTTATTTCAGAGTCGCCACTTGGGAAAGGTTTGGCTTTTGGTGTCCCAAGTCACCAGTTTATCTTGAATCCCAAATCGAGGAAAATATTCGACTTTCCAAATGAAGTCTGCGAATCAGAAATTCTAAGTAAGGAATTCTGTTGACCCAAGGGAAGGTGTTAGGCACCCCCGAATCCCGTGGTTCTAGCACGGTCGCTTAAATTGTTATAATGGCTAAATATCTGATTTAAATACATGTTGTGACTTATGTGCTTTTATTAAGTTTAAACCGCCTTTATT